GTGAAACTCGTACAGAGGATTGCGGAGGTGGATCACACCGAATTCGATGGTTTTACAGACTGCTTTGGGATGGTGGAAACGTCGCTTATCATGACTACATGAAGACCGTACTGACCAAGGAGGAGATCGAATCCATGCTCAATCCAACCGCGACAGCTGAGTATGTCGGCGACATTTTCGAATTCTGGCTTGGGATGCTTGACCTGGGTATTCAATTCCCTACTATGTTTGGTGGATGGGGGGCAAACCTTGACAGTTGCCTCGCAGGATTGGAAGAATCATTCTGGCTCTTCAGCAGTTCATGTCGACCTACCGACACCATCAACACGAAGCGAAACCGATCCAGGAAAGCATACATCCCACCGGTCGAGAACAATATGGTGACAACAGTCTTGAAAGAAGCGGGAATCTTTGACCTACTCCTGCAGAAGAAGATCACCAGAATGCCGATGCTCCCGGAAGCCAACTACGATGACCATCCTGAAATGATTGAAGTCTCATCAAGCGATGAGGAGGAGGATGAAGTTGGTGAGCCTGAAGAGGAAACCACGACGCCTACGGCGCGGGGCCCTCGAGCAGAACAGACTTCAGGAGAAACTGATGCCGGAGCTGGTGACATCGAAATTGAGGAGGAAGAAGAGGCCGTGGGGGGCCAACCTTCGGAAGCGAAGAAGCGCCGAACTGAGGTGCGGAACATCCGTGAGCAACTTGAGAAGCTGATTGCTGACGCATCAAGTGTTCAATATTGTTTCATTTGTGGTGGAATGCATGACATTGATGAATGTACTACACCAGATGACGAGAACATGAAGAACACCCTATGGCGCATGAGATTGATCATGGACAAGTCCCCATCGTCTTCGGAAAGATCCAAAGCTGCGACAAGAGGCAGAAAAGACAAGCTCCCGAAGAACGTCATGCCAAGAGGAAAACGTAGGGGAAGAACCAGATTCACTGAGAAAGAAGAAGTGACTAAATGCTTCTACAGTCAGTCAGCCTTTATGTACGACATTGGTGATCGTGAAGAAGGAGGACAGTACTTAGTGAATGGCGTCGAAGTCAACCCAATTAGCCGAGGTGTGAAGAATCGTCACGAGCTTGATGTGCTGATTGAACGTGCGGCTGAGGAATCCCCGCCTGTTTTGCCGACCATTGAGGAGCTGAACGCTTGGAACCCCAAAGACCATGATGCATATGTGAAATGGCTTACTGAAGAAAGAAAACAGTATGGAGACAACTGGAATTTCAGGTACATCCAACCATTTACACATGGCCACAATATCGGAACACTGCAACTTGCTCGCATCAATGGAGAAGAATATCTTGGATATGGATGGAGTAATGTGCATCGATATGGCGAGAATGAGTGGATGGGCAACAAATGGGAAAATCCGCAATGGATAGTCGAATTGTCGAAAAGATTCAATGCAGCGCTACGCCACTCCGTGGGTTGCGTCAAGGACAATCGAAATCACCGTGGACTACCATGCGATGAAGCAGGTTGGGTCAATGTCGAGTCGATCTTGAAGTACGACAACATTTGGAGAGATCAGCATACATTGGCTGGAACGACCCACGTCAACTTCCCAGTACTTGTTGAGAGGTGGAACAATTTCCAGAGAGTGATCTTCACTGAGTACAAGCAAACGAAAAGGATCCGAGCCCAAGTGCTAGGACTCAAGGTCACAAAAGCTGAGCTGGAGTATGTCATGAACAACTTCAATGATGGATTGACCTCGAGACTTGAACGACAAACACTGAGGTTGGAGATCGGCACAGCGGATCGAGAGATTTGGCTATGGCCGGTGGCAATCCGTGCCCCTATGGCACATTCAAGAGTTCAAGGCGGTGTGCACGTCGAAGACAAGAAGACTTCCTATCAAGAAGACTTCCTATCAGACGAACCCTGGAGTCGGATACACTCTTGGAGGAGGATTTCACTGCACCACTTTTGACAACATCGCTCAAATCTTCAGAGAAGGACTACGTCCCGGAGGAGGAGGCGACCGCATCAATACGTTCTTCGTGCCATTCGCACCGTGGGACGTGCGAAGTCAGACGGTGCTGAGGTTCAGAAGGACTGAACAAACTGATCTTGTCTACATCTACATCACGTACGGTACGATTCCATCGCCAAGTTCTCCCCTCGATTGTCAGCAGACGGACACATTTTGGTCCAAGAAACAATTCCATTCGAATCATTCGATGCAGTTTGGTACTATGATTGGAAGGAAAAGGACTACTACCGTCTTATGATCACAAAGGGAAAAGATCAACTCGTACTTTCTGTGCAAGGAGCAAGGAGGGTGGCCACCATTGAACGATTTGACAAACTCATTGGGAACATTGTGCCTGATGAATCATCACCCGATCTGAACGAACTTCGAAAGCTTGTCGATATCAAGACCGGTCACTTCAGTCATGCTCACAGATTATTCCCTGGACATCCGGATTGGAATGATGCAATATCATTGTTAGCAGTCACTCATCATCCTAGCAAAGAGGACCATCGACTATGCCGCGCATGTCTGATGGAAATCCCTGCACCATTATCGATTTGTGTGATGTGCAAAGGATTTTTGGTAAGTCATGGATGGAGGAAGCGAATCAAGATCACCGTGGCTACTGTACCAAGTGCCGAATCACGTCCTCGAGAAGAAGATCTCAAAGACCATGTCAAGAAAGCATGGGAAGAAGTGAAGATCGATTTGACAGGTGAAGGTGATGACGACGAGCTGATGCAAGATGATGATGACGTCACCATGAAGAGTCCAGAACAAGAACCTCAACAAGAAGAAGAAAATGATGATCAAGCCTCGAAGAAGGGCGACATCAATGATGAGAGAAGAGACTTCAGAGAGCAAGATGAGGTCGATAAATTCATCAATGAGGAAGGAAAACAAACTGATGAGAACGACGATGAAGAAATAGAGGTCGATGAAATCAACATCGAGGAGTACGAGGCTGGAGAAGCTCATGATGCAGTGATTGAGTACCCCAAGTGGCTGAAAAGGGTTGAGTTTGGATCAAAAGTCCTACCAATCGAGCCTTGTACAATTGGAGATGCTCAGCCGGAGCTCATCAAAATCCTCCTGTTACAGATTGTGTTGCATATCGTCAGGATCTACAGACTATTCCAACGGAACTTCTGTGGAGACATTGAGATGGCATGGAAACACTTTCAACAGAACCAGAAATTCAGGATGGACTTGGATTCAAGAGTTCCATACCTAGGTGAGGATGAAAATGGTGAACTCATCGAACCAACTGCACAACAGATGAAAGAGCTCTACCAGGAAATCGGCCGACCACAACAAAAGGACGACATCGGGGAAGAGGGATTCGTCAATGCGTACTATGGGGCGGTGGTACTCAAGCGACTTCTCGTGTATACCCTTGAATGCGGTTACACATATGAAGACTTGCAAAATATCTTCTTCGATGAAGAGATGGAGAAGCTGTCGAAACATGACTCAACAAGGGATGAGATGAGAAAGACCACAGCAGCCCGCGAAGCCCTTGACCGACAAGATGTTCTGGTCAGAAGAATCATTGCAGGTGCATACAGAGTGAATGCTGTTTATTTCTTCAGGAACGTCGACTTTCAAGACACAATCACACTGAACCCAGTTGACATTGTGTGTGCTCTTCGACCTGCACTTCGAAGAATTTCAGTTTTGCATCTGATCCTTCAGAATGGCCGACAATTGCCGCGACCTCTACTCCAGAGGCTGTATGATGCAATCAATGACTACAACAACATCAAGCAGCGGGATGATCAACGACCAAGATGGGGCATCCACATGACAGAAGCCCACTTACTTGCGATTGCTGATACCCCGGTTCCTGCCGATCGTGAACGTGCTAACCCAGCCGCTGGCAAATCGAAAGCAGCCCCGAAGGCAGCACCAGCACTGGGCAGAGTGCCAAAAGCGAAAGCATCATCATCAGCACCATGGAGAACCGTCGAAGCTGCTCCTCCGCCAAAACAAGCCCCAGTAACCCCGCCACAGAAAGGTGGAAAAGACAAAGGGAAAGGTGGAAGATCTTATTCGCACCGTGGTGGCGACTGGAACCAACATGGATACTATGGATGGGGATATAGATGATAAATCGATATGACCTCTGCATAGGTCCTGATTGAACCTGGCGAAGCGAGGCAGCAATCATTGCTCGAGATTCATCTCTACTTCATTTTGAATGATTTCTGAGAGGACTCTGAGCCGGCTAATTTAGAACCACATTTTTTTTTTGGAACATCATTGCACGAGACGCTGAGTTTCTACAGCGGTCTACATCTCAACCGACGAAGGAACGGGAAGGTAAAATTCTAGTTCCATAGTCATCTTTGTGTTTCGATTTTAATTCGCATGCTTGAGTGGGATTCCATGCTGGCTACGCCACATCGGATGAACCTCAATGCTGTACACCGACTACGTCGTGTCAGCACGCACGTGAACAGAACCCTTTTTTTTTGGTAGAGATCGTAGCAAGCCGCCATGTAGATTTGAAGTTCTGAACGGACTTTAGCTCTCCATAATTCAATAAATGAACAGCTGCAGATGCATTGGAACGGTTTAAGGGACACTCCTTTGCGCGTGGCCAACAAAGTTGGCCATGCGTGGGGGGTGCGAATGGGATGTAGACTACAGCACTATACATACTCCCATGTAGATGTTCCCTTAATCATCCATGACCAAAGGGATGCATGAACTGCCCCTCTGGCTCAAGACAACTGCCAGCCCCGTGAGAAAATAAAGCAATGCCGAAACTGCCACTCCTTCGTCGTCGTCAGTGAGAGAACAACTGCACTCTCGAACAACCAGGAACATATAATCGGGGAGATAACCTCCGATTCACAATCTATCTATCTATCCATCTATCCATCTATCTATCTATCTATCGATATATATATTTATATAATTATATAACTATATACATATATATGTATTTATCTACATACGAGTTATCCCCAACCACGGTCCCATGGCCGACCCAAGGAGATCTACTTGGACGTGGCGTGGAGCGCCTGGCAACAGGTCATTGGAGACGAGCGACGTCAACGTGAGATGCCCAAGGCCAGGCCCCACTTTCGACTGATGGCGGCGATCTCGGGGAAATTCGTTGGGGGGTTACGGTGCTTTCATGGTTTTTTAGTGGATGTTTAACGGATGTTTAATGGATTAAATTGATTTTTAACGGTTTTTTAGTGGTTTTCTAATGGTTACTTAATGGATTTTGAATGGTTTGTATTATGGATTTTGAATGGATTTACTATCGTTGAATGGATTTTAATGGGCATTTAATGGTTTATTTCATGTCAATTATGAATTTAAATCATTTGGACATTGGACTGGGTTATATCATATGTTATATCAACTCAACTATAAAATGTGGGTGAAACAATGTCATAAACCACCCATGTCTGGGTTTGGTTTATAGTCTATGCCACCTGAGTATAAAAAATGTGATTGCTTATGATTGTTTTACCAACATTTATGGATGTTCATGGGCATTTAATGACTTATTTCATGTTATATCATGGATGAATTTCATGAATTTTCATCATATCAACCCATAGTTGGTATCAAACCATCTGGACAATGGGCTATATCCGCTTATATCAACTGTAAAATATAGTTATATAATTGTAGTAAGATGTTGAGAATGCTGCATTTATGAAGGGATAATCGCAGAAAATCGCATCCTTTGTTCATATCAAACATAATCTTGATATGTGCCATGGTGAAAAGATGGATTATACAGAACCCGCATTGGGGGATAGTCATCAACCCGTCAATAGGGATTTGATGGGATTTAAAGGGCGATGATTTAATTACATCATATGATTGGATATAATGGGATTAGAATGGACAATCTCATCCCCCATTCGTATAAAACACCAACTATACGTATAATAAATGTTCCCGACATGCGGTTTCACCCCCTACATCCATCATGGTTTATGAGGAGGTGTTTTTTGAATGGAGGATATAACAAATATGAAATATGTATACAGCAACCTCGACAAAGATTGCAGCGAAGATCGAAAAGCAACATCCCACAAGAAAAGCAACAGTAATATGTACACAGCAACAATTGTTCTATAATGTTACTGTTCTATGCGTTCATAATCCCAGAAAGAACATGAATTACTGTTCTATCTTTTTTTCGGGAGGGTACTATGTACGATAATTCTGGGATAGGGTAGATGGAATTGTTCAAGGAGGTCTATCGCAGAATGGCCAAAATGTTTCTTCAACAATAGGGCAGTTTGCTCAGTTTGCTGTTTCCCATCCCGCGGTCAGATTCAACACCGCCTTGGTATGGTCCCTATTTGATGTTATTTGTGGATCCCAGTAAACCCCAGCTAAGCCATGGTTGATTGGGGGTGTTTCATGTATTTTTATGTTACATAGGGGTAAGAGATTGAGATTACCAAAGATTATGGTGGCCCCTTGCCCCGGGACATACTTGAGATATTGTGAGTCATGATCAATGGGAATTCCAGGATCCTAAAATGGAGGTACTGTACCATTTTTCAGGCCATATTTTGGGGGTATATTCCCTTACATAGGCCTAAAAAATAGGCCTTATATATAGTAGGTACCTCCAATGAATGGGATCCTGTTGCATGGCCATTGACATGATGGCCATGTCCATGTCTCAGTCTGGGATGGTATGGGATGGTGATGCCTATCCGGATGGAACCCGTTTTTCACGAGCCTCTGGTTATGTCAAAATAGCTATTGAACATGATCTGTATACGTTGATTTACCTATTATAAATGGTGATTTTCCATAGTTACAGTATATGGATTATATATGGATTGCCCAATAACGTAATAACGAACTGGAAAAATCCACCATTTTCTAGCTGGGTAAATCAACACCCCCCTTGGAATATCCTCTAGGAAATGGTGACCCTGGGCGGCGCCATTTCCTAGAGAGCTGAATTTTATGGATTACCCATCTTTGACCAAATGCATTCTTTAGAGGCGTATTGGTCGCTATTTGACCTGATCTGGTGGAAGTGCGGGGTTCCATTTTCTAGATTTCGGGGTTATCATCTGGGACCACCTCTAAATTTACAATGTCCCATTCTTTAGACACCAGTTGTGTGTTTCCAAAAAAAACGAAGTTCCATTTTTTAGAGCTCACTGGTTCAATGACATCAAGGGGTATGCCCTGGGGACCTCCATTTTTTAGAGCTCACTGGTTCAATGACAAGGGGTATGCGCTGGGGCCCTCCATTTTATAGAAAAAACGTGCGGAAACACTGACATATTATAAACATATAAAATCATATGTAATATCAAATAATAATTTATATAAAATATGTACAAAAATGAACATCTAATTATGTTGTATTTGTTATGTTTTTTGTCATTATTTCAGATTTTCCCAAACTCTTCTGTGCCACTGGCTCAAAGATGTTCAAAGGTGTTGAAAGGTGCTTTAGATTCTAAGAAATTCTAAGAACATATATTTCACGAGGCAAAGATTGTCTCAAACCTAGGCAGGGGATAAAAGGGCCCATACAAATCACATCAAGTCACTATATGCTATAGAATGGAACCCATAGGCACTGGTTGGTGTTGTTGAACGGACCATAACGGACCCAAAAACATCCAAAAACTCTAAAGAATGGAACTTTGAACGTTTTCAAGGTCGATCAAGAATATCCAGACAATTACTAAAGAATGGTATTCCCAGATACTGCAAAACAAACAAAATGTTCACATAATTTTACAACAGCTCTGTCCACCATGTCCTAGAGGAAAAAAAAGGGGAAAAAATGAAATGAAGCACTTTTCAAGCCAATCACCTGGTCCTCCATTTTATAGACATGCCTCTGTTTGTAGGACCCTCGGGGTTCCATTCTATAGAGGTTGGGGTTCCATTCTATAGAGATTTGTTATGATATGTTAGTCTGGCCCATCCATTCTTTAGAGCTTGGGGCTCCATTCTTTAGATGTTCCACTTCTAGCCCCCCCCCCGGTGCACTATAGAATGGCGCCACCCACCCTTTTTACTTGATTCACACGGGGATAAATCAACTATGTCTATAGCAGTAGCAATTTTCAATAGCTTTTTGTATGTTTACCAGAGGGTATGTGAATTGAACTGATTGAATCATCATTGGCATAGGATCAAATCACTGCATATGGCTGGGTAGATCAACTATTTTAATGGCAATGTTCGCTTACCAGAGGGTAGATACAAAGGTACCCTCTGGTAATTTAACATAACTATGGAAAATCACCATTTATAGTGGATTTTCCCATTAAAAATGGTGATTTTCCATAGTTATGTTAGTGCCATTGCCGCAGATCATCAACCCACAGGATTCCGGCTGATTGCCATGCCAGGCACAACAGATGTATGAGAAGGCACGGATTCCATCCCCGTTTGCAGCATCGCTGTTGCGCATTGAAAAAGGGCATTTATTCAACTTTTGGCATCTCTGATTTTGAAGTATGTTTTTTGTCGGGAATTCATAGAATTCCCGCAGGTTTGTTTACAAAGGTCAACGGAAGCCTATTTCTTGCGGATGGAGGATATGTCGGAAACCAAAGTCCTCCAGGTTTTTCTTGCTTTTGACTTTTTGGACGTCTGTGCAAATTTGTGCAATTTACAAGTATTTTACAACGATAATTATACTTGAGTATATTCGAGTTAATCCCAATGTTCGAGTCAATTCCCAAGAGTGTTTTCTGATTCAATCTTCTAATCATCTTTGTCCGCAAGCTACAATACTTTGCCATAGCTTGCCAAAGCCATACGGCAATACGTTTGTATGTTATTTTTTTCATCTCCAATGCATCTTTGAGAAACACAGCGGTTTTGCCATATTCAATTATTATTATTATTGCTTTCCGCTGCAAGAAGTGCCACCACCACCGCAGCATGCACGCCCTCCAGGGAGGGCACATCATCTGTCAATCCTTAGTCAACACCTGTGGCCGCTGCGCGACGGCCAGTCCCCCCATACCGATGTTGCCATATGGTTTCACAGAGATTAGAAAGGTTTTGTCTGACCTTTTCAACCACGACCGGGTCATCGCCCGACGAACTCCATCCGAAACGGGACAGGAGAATGGAGGGAGGAGGGTCGAAAGGATCAGGACGAAGAGGACAAGACCAAGCGAGATGAAAGAATCCCGGATGATTTTCCCCGCACCCCCAAACGCACGGTTCGCAGATGCCAGAAGAAAGATGAAGCCAATGAGAACTGACAAACGACGACAGACCCATGGTGCGAGATTGAGAACTGGAAAGGATCCAATTTCGAGAAGCCTCAATGTCCAACCGACGAAACGCCGACCAGTGATCAGTGAGGGATTGTTTGATTTCCTGAGCTTCATGCCGACCGCTGTTGAGAAAGCGTTCCCACAGAGTGGCGCGCCAGGCATGACGAAGGATGTGAGAGAGATGGTCGCGATCAGACTTCGTCCGACAGGGTTGGATAAGATTCAGGTTCTGACTGACCTGGTGGGAGAAGACCCAGGGACGTCGAGAGGAGAAACCTAGGTCTTTGAGAGCCTGACGCAGAGTGCGAACAGGACTGCCAGGTGGGCCATTCCAGCGAACGAGCGAACGATCGACGGAGCCGGCGACAGCACCCATGAGATGTTTGACAGCGAGAACTTCCAGATGGGAATTGCCACCGAGGAAAAGAGCACGGATGTGTTTGTTAGCCATGAAGCACTTACCATCACCACGACGCACACTGGACCAAAGACGGGAGGCAGCAGCGACAGTAGGGAGGCGAGAGACCCAACCATATGACGCTTGAGGCATGGCAAACATAGCGACATACTGATGGAAGACTCGAAAAGGGAGTTGAATAGAAGCCAACAACGAGATGGTTTGAGAAGCCTTAGCCAGCCGTTGTTCTTCGTCCGGACACATGCGACGACGAGCAACAGCGGTATAAGCACCCAGAACACGAACAGTGGACTGGACAAAGGGCGCAAGGAGAGCGGGAACGGGCAGCTTGGGCGATTTGACAGCAAGGGAGACCTTGGACTCGTTTTCGATCAAACCGACATGACCCGACCACTGAGACCAAGCATTTTTGTGGTGAGACAGCGACTCAGCAGAGGAGGAAGTGACAGACCGATCATCCATGTACAGAACGGTTCGAGCAGGACGAGCATCGACGGGAACCGCACGACGGACGGAGTTGTGACCGCAAGTGGTCCAAAGCATACAGAGGATGGGACCGAGGGGGTCACCCTGGGGGATCGAGTGAGGGGCCGTCAGGGGAGTACCATGGACACAACCTTGAAAGCAGACCCAGCGTTGTTGATTGACCCAGACATCCTGACAGACATTGGACCAACCGACAGGCAGACCGAAGTCACGCATCAACTGAGCAGAACAGGCAGCAGAGAAAGTATCGAAACACTTTGACCAGTCCAAACTCAGAAGATAACCGTTCACAGCGAAATCTTCAATGATCTGAGCAGCAACCCCTGAAATGGAGGAGCCGCGGCGAGCGGCAATTTCACCAGGGATGTGTCGACGAATCCAAAGCTGGAAACTGAGGTGGGCAATTTTTGAACTGTTCCAAATCCGCCAGAAGGTGTTCAGGACCGTGATCGGCCGAGTAGACTGAACGGAAATGGAACCATTCTCGGATTTGCCAGGCTTGGGAAGGGTTGCCATTCTGGCTTGACGCATTTGAAGAGGAGCACGTCCGACGATTTCCCAACGCTGCGCAAGTTTCACGAAGAGTTCAATGGCAGCGTCGGGAAGATGAGACAATTCCGAACCCGACCACCCGTCAGGGCCAGCGGATCCGCGTTGTTTTCGGAAGATAGAAATGACGTGCTCAGTTTCAAGGTCAGGGAATTCAGTCGGATGAATGGTGGGGAGACCCTGACGAAGATGAGCAGTGATTTGATCTTCAGGAGGAGTATGATGATTTTGCCAAAAATCGACCCAATATTGATGAATGAAGGCCGCAGCCTCACTCAAAGATTCAGATCGGCGACCTTGGGGATTGGTAACAGAAAAAACATTGGACTGAGATTTCGAATGAAGCCAACGACTGACCGAACGGATGTCCTGCGTCATGCACTGACGCCAAGACGCCAGGCGACGACGCTTAAGCTGTTCGGTAGCATGGTTGATGTCGTGATGAAGTTGGTCCAGCTCTCGGACCATGTCGAGAATGCCAGGATTGGAAATGTCGAGTTTGTGCAAAAGAGCACGATAAACAGAAGACTCAGACCGGATTCCCAGCAAATGCAGACGCTTGAGTTCGGAGAGGCGAGCCAGCCTCTTGCGCTTATGACGAAGGTGAAAAGGAGTGATGTCAAGTTCGGGGCCACGATGGGACCACTGAAGCTTCTTGAACCGAGCCACCACACCTTTGCGACCAGGTCGTTGGAGTCGATGCGCAGCGTCAGTGGTGGCGGTGTCGGGCAGATCGGAATTTTCGGCAACGACACTGAAGGCCCGTCTGAAGACAGAGTTGAGCAAAGCCTGAAAACAGTCCCACTCCGATTGGACGTCGGGAATTTCGGGGAGGTTGGAAATGAAATCTGAGACCTCAGCATTAGACGTCCAAGAATCGGAGAGGGTCTTTCGCCAGATATCAGAGCTCAAACCTGAAGGAATGGAGAAATCCGGGGTTTGAGTGAGGATGCCTTTAAAGGATTCAGAAGTAGGCGGACACCAAGTCACCGAGATGGGAACATGATCAGAGAGCTGGACCAGCTCGACCACGACAGAAGAGAGATGATGAGGACGATTGGTGACGAAATAGTCAACTTCGCGTTGGCCCTCCCAACGAGTCGGTCTCCCCGAAGCAAGAACATGTCCGCAGTAGGGGGCGAGAAATTCGACCAACTGACAATCGTCCGCTGCCTCGTTGAAGTCACCAGCAAAGAGAAATGGCTGGGCATGATGATTGGGATTCGACACAAAATACTCAGCAGCAATGGAGGTGAGATCGGCAAGCGCAGGGCCCCTGTCGGGGGGGGCATAAGCTGCGCAGACATGAAGACCAGCCACAGCCACCACAAGCAACTGAGAATTTTCCTTGGAAGAAGAGAAAACTTGAACCTGATGAAGTTTTTTGCGAGCGAGGACAGCCACGCCGCCATTGAAACAGGGCTGATGACAGCCGTTGTTGCGTCGAGAAGGACCATGCTGAGCATAGCCAATGAAGCCAAGAGAAGAAGCCTTCCTGAGGAAACTGGGCCATTCGTTGGGCTTCATACGAATTTCTTGAGGAACCAAAACATCAGTTTGGGCGGAAGCAAAATGTTCGAGAGCACGCCAACACCCGGGCGCTCCGCCAACATTCAAGGAAGTGATTCGAAAGGGACCAGGATTGGACGCTTCGCCGATGCGACGCCCTTTGTTTGGATCAAAGCTGAGCAGAGAGTCAACTTGCGATTTAGTCTTGCCCCAAATGGCACAGAGGAGTTTACAGTTCTTGCCAGAATCACGAATTTCTTTCCATCGCAACCGAAGTTTTGAAACATTGGTGAAAGAATCGCCCTTGCATGCAACATCCCAACCCCCCGAAGAAATTCGGAGACAGCGAGTGCACGTGTGAAGTGTGCTACAGTCGAGAGTGCCGGGCCAGGTGGGAGCATGAGGGCGAAAGGCCACAACATGATGTCCTGCTTTGGCCGCAGCAATGGTAAGCTTAGTCGTGGAAAACCGTTCAGCAACTTGTTCAGAAGTAAGCTTCCAAGTTTTGAGGAAGATGGCCACATTCTTGGGGCTATGCTTGGAAAGACGATCCCAGAGTGAGCGAGTGGCACTGGAAGCACCAGCATCAGTCCCCCGACATTCTTGATCCCAAGCAGCATTAGAAATGCGAAGGCACTGGGTGCAAGTCATAAGCGTGCCAGCTCTGGTTTTTGCAGCATTGCCCCGAGCAGGCCAAGACTTCCAGTCAGGACGGAGTACAACCAGAGAATGGTTGCCAGTGTCAAGAGGAATGGAATTGGCTTCGCGAGAAAGTTTAAAAGAAAGACTAGCTTTACCTTGCTTGAGATGAGGTTGAAGATCCTTAGACTTACGGTATTGTTTAGCACGGGCAGCATGCACAGCAGCAACACCAGTGTCTTTACGAGGATGTTTTTTGGCATAATGCCGAGTGATCGCAGATTTCCTGACATGATTGTTGATACCAGCAGGGAGACCACATTTGCAGAACGGACAGGACCAGCAACGTTCGTTCAGCGGGACGGCAGCAGAAGCATCCACATGATCAGCAACGTTGGCACGGATGGAGAAGATCTTCGGAGTGTGGACACCAGGGTGACGACTGGAGAGGTGATTGGTGCGAGCACGCGACAGGGCACGACCGGACGCAGCAGCAGTGACCACCATAGCACAATGGGGACATGTCCATTGGCGCTCATTTTCCGCGATGGTATGATTGCGCTGTTTTTGACCCCAGATTCGAATCAATTGCTGACGACGAGGAGACGCAGCAGCATCAGGTTGGACAGACCGACCAGTACGAACATGGGATGAAACCAACTCGGAGAGAGTGTGAACAGAGGGAGTACCATCAGATTGCAAGTCATGATGTTTTCGCTTCCGTTGTGACGAACTCGAGGAAGTACTTGCAGAACACACAGTATGAACCGAAGGAGTGGCATCAGAGGAAGTGGACCGACCAGCACCAGAAAGATCGATGACGACGTCCACAGTTTCTTTGAGCCAAGACGTGGGAACAGATTGACCTTCAGGGGGAACCAGAGCCACATAGTGTCTGTCGGCAAGGATGAGAACGGCAGGAGGCTTTCTTTTGTTGGCACAGGCATACCCCTTGCTGAATCGGCCTGCGATGACATATCTCTCCCACACATTTTCTTTTTTACGCCAAACCACGATGGGCCGACCAAGTTTTTCAGCAGTAGCTTGAGCAATAGGCCCATTGCACCAATGCGTAGGCTGTGCATTGTCCTTGAGCCATTTTTCAAATTCAGCCTTTGAAGAAAAGAGCTGGCCGTAGCGATCGGCATGTTTCTGAGCATGAAGAATAGCCTGAGATCGCAGCCAAGCTCCGGAGTTTTTAGACTGTTCTTCAGTGGGATTTTGAGCAAGGGCGGCCGCAGACAATTCAAAGATGCTGAGAGCACGAAAGAAACCGTCGCCGTTGCCGCCTTGATCAAACTTCTTCCAGTTGTGATGAACAGCAGTATCGGGATCGATGATGTGATTGTCGCCAGGTTCAAGGGTGCGAATCTTTTTTGCCTGAGGAGGATCAGGCCTGGAAGGAGAATGGACACCATACCATCTTCTTGAAGAACCAGAAGCCGCAGCTTCCGCTTGGGTAGATTGAGTTTGAGAATCAAGAGCTGTAGCAGCCACACTAGATCCCCGACGGGGAGTGCGCTCGCGCGGACTGCTTGCTTGATTGGGAGTGGCAGGAGGGTCACCACCGGCAGCAGCCGGACCAGCATTTTCGGCAGCAGGAGGAGGCTGCGAAGCACCTGGCTGAACAGTACCCTCGCCGGAGTCAAGTTTGATGGGGGAAGCATCAGGACCGACAGACCCGACGACCGACCGCAGATGACGGGGGGCTTGGATGTTCCAAGAGACGGGAAGCTGACGAGGACCAGGGACCGAAACTTGCACATGGATGGACCAAGCAGGTTGGGCATCACTGAGTTGGACCTGGTATTGCCAAGAACTTTGTCTGAAATGGTCATCAGGAGGTTTGGCACGCCCATACCACCGTTTGCCCCGACGGATCAGATGCTCAAGGTTTGTCCATCCCACACCAGCAAGGAAGGTGGACAAATCTTCAGAACCCCAAGCACGAGGGACAGAAGAGATGGTCAGCGCACGAATGCGATTGTCAACTTCAGGATCATCGGGACGACGCAAGAAGCCAAGAGTGTCTCCACTTTTTCCAAAACGATGAATAACAGGCTGTTGTCGTTGGACTTGAAGAGAACAGACCCGACGGTGATAAGTTTCGTCAGACTCGGAAGCATTGCGAGGAACCCAAAAAGGTTTTTCAACACAAGGATTTTTTGGATCGACTCGAGAGATGAAGAGACCTTTAGATCCACTGAGAGAAACGAGTTTGGTGGCAACATCAGGCTTGAGACGCAAGAAGGCCACAAGCTGAGAAATGCCTTGTTTGTCTTGTTGCGACCAGCGGGCACCAAGGAAGTCAGCCACTGGCTTGCTGGCAAGAGAAGCCAGAGTTTCGATGATGAAGGTGGCGGAGTCAGGCTTGGTGGGATCTGACAGAAAGGGGATGCGAAAGTTGAAAGGAGCAGCAACCCGGACCGTGACTCGTTGAACCTGAGGAACCTTCTCCTTGGGAACAGAGACCGCTTGATGGACCCAAGGACCGCGGTCTTTGCTGATTTGAAGTAAGCCAACATTTTCGAGAGTAGTGCCAGACTGACCACGGACCAGAGAGACACGAGTGTGAAGAACACCTTCAAAGTCTTTGGCAGAGCCACAGAGCATTGCGGTGAGGATGGACGGTTGAGAATAGACGTCCCACAAGGTTTGGAGTTCTCGAATATGATCAGGGGACCAAATTTCGACCAGATTTCCATTGATTTTTTCGCCCTGTTGAAGACATTGCGTGATGCGACCAAAAGGCACAAGTTTGGGAGGCACAGCAGGAGACCAGTCCAGAGGACGAAGAGATGAGACCCAAGAGGATGCTTTCTGACGAATTGATGACGCAGGAGCCGAGGCAGAGCCAGCCGGGACGGACGTTGAGCCCGAAGAAGATCCCGAAACCCATGACCACCAGCCATTCCGATCGACAGTGTAGGGCCAAGACTTACCAGAGGAATCCTTCCAATAGCGAACCACCGGGGGAGATTCAACGTGAGACTTGGCATTATCAGAACCCTTGACAGGATTTTTTGAGCTGCGACGAACTTTTTTCTTTTTGGGAGTGGAAACCTGATTGACAAAGACCGAGAGAAGATTCAGAAGGTCAGGAACCGAGCCACCTTGATTGAAACACACTTTCAGATCTTTGAGGAGTTTCCGAGTTTGGGAATTGTCTTGATTTCTCTTCTTTTGCCGACGAGCAGCAGCAGAAGCACCAGCACCACCGGACAGGACGTCACTGCGAAGAAGGTCGACCTGAGAAGGGGTGAAGTGAGGAACACGACGGACTGAAGGAGAGACATGATGAAAGGATTTCCCAGCAAGATGTGTCCAAGACCGACGGATGAGATACCGAGCAGCAGCGAGACGCCGACACGTGACACGAGCAGACTTGAGACGCGATCGACCCGCATACCGACAGGGGACAAATTTGGAAGAGAAACACATACGACGATGATGATTGGGAGCAAAGTCAGCATGAGTTCTTTTGACAGCTTTTCGTTGTTTTGCAGCTTGACGTTTGACAGATCTCTTTTGCTTCTTTCTGATGAATTGTTGAAGTCCACCTAACCAAATCGACGAAAACGCCGAGGTGATGAATACAACAACCCAAACAAATTTCGGGGGATTGAGGGAAACATACAGGGGTATTATCCCATTAATAACCCCATCCAGAAACCCCGAGTTGCGCGAAAAGTTGCTGTTGAGCACCACAGGAGCCGCAGTGCCGCCATCCCATGGCACAGCAACAGTCGCGCCCGTCGCCGGGGAGCCCACTGGGCTAGTGTCATTTGTTGCAGCCAAGGCGCCTTGAGCAGAGCACAAGCAAGGCAGACACCAAAGCAACAGCAGCACCAGCGCAGCGCTATTTGTTTTTTTCATTTTGACTTTTCTTTTCTGCTCTTTTTCCACCCACCTCATGGCCGTGGTTTGACCCAGGACTTCCTGGGCTCTTTTTTCGACCGTAACGTGGCCGTTCTGGTGACCCAGGACTTCCTGGGCTCTTTTTTCGACCTTTGTTTTTCCGCATTTTTTTTTCACAATTGTCATTGTGTTCTTCTTTTTTTTTTTGATTTTTGTTCTTTTTTCTTTTTGTTTTTCACATGCAACAGTGCCTCCCAAGGCACCAATTTTGTAGACGATTCGCACCACGGTGATCCCGTGGCCCACCTCCACCACGCTCGCAAGCTGGGGGTTTTGCCATATTCAATGGATTGGTTTCAGTGAAATTCTTAACCGGAAACCATCGATTTTTCCATGAAATATGGGGTTTTCCTATAAATTTTCCCTTAAGCCAATCCATTGACATATCGTTTTCACAGTCACGAGGATGATCTCAGCCATATTCCCATATTTTTGTCCATGGCCCTGCAGGTTCTCCGCGACACCCATGAAGCTATGGCCGCGGGGGACGGATGGGATTCTATATGGGCTTGTCTGAAGATAGGTACCATGTTATGCCCAACACATTGTTTTTTTTGGGTGTAAAGTGTGAAACCAAACAATTCACCATTAAATTTGGGGGATTACTATTGTATACTATTGTTCATTACCAAATTCAATGGTTGATTATTTGAATACTATTGTTTAGACGCAGCCATATGTTTTATTTTGCATGGGGTGGAGCTACTAGTTGATTTTCCCCCCCAGCCACATGATAATTTTTGATACACTGTATGCAAAAAAACATGTATGTCCAGATTTTTCATTGGTAAAGTATATAAACTTATGCAATTTTAAACACGCAATCTGAAATTGAAACAATGTGAACCATGTTTAGCTGCCTCGTGGCCCACCACGATTAATGTTTTCTTCTGTTCAGGAAAGGGTCAATGTTTCTGCTGCTTCAGCCATTCGGAACCATGAGCTTTAGTTGTTTAACTCCTTCAGACCCGGGGATTACACCCGTATTCAAATGCCAAGGCCGCAAGGCACTTTTCATCCTCAGGTCTCATTTGGCTGCTGGCTTTTGACACTGATGTTACACATCTTGGGATTTTTAAAGTCTCAATGATAGATTCAGTGACATGAACAAATTATCACTCTTGCAAAAACTGTTTCGTTGATGGTCAATGTTCAATTCAATGGTCAATGTTCTCACTTTTCCATTAACCCGGTAGAACCCCCAAAGTTTGGGTGCCAAGTTGTAGCAACCGCAGGGCTTGAACTGCCTCACGATGTGGAGCAGCACCCGTCTCAGAGCGATCTGGGTCGACCCAAAAACATCGAAAAAATGCCGAACAACTCGTGGTTTAAACATGGTTTAAACCGGATTTAAGCAACAAACAGATGGGATTTTCATGGATTTCACAGGTCAACATGATGGGAATACTCCCGAAGTCGGAGGTCAACCAGGGAATTTTCCAGCCATGGATGACTAGGGTGGGAAACTATGGCATGTCCACATGGGAACTAAGATAGGTCCATGTCACATGCAAGAACTAGGATAGGAGTATAAACATATGATGAAATATGTAGAGCTTTAGGCTGTTTCGGTAGGCTAACATGCTGTGATCATACAACTGTATGGTCCTGCAACGTCATGACATACACAGAATGAATTTTGTTACTACAGCATTTCGATATATTGTGCCCATATCATCCCATCTGGTGGGTTAACATATTTTAACATTTAAATTTGATAGTTGCATACGTGGTATATATATAATATATATGTATGTATATATATATGTGTGTGTGTGTTAAATGAGCACAGCCTGTGTTATCACGTGTTGTTTTGGTATAGTCTATACTGGCGTGCTAATTCCAGCCCGTCTCATGAACGAGGAAGGAGACGTCTATGGATACGACTGGTTTCGTTTGATTGAAATTACTGGAAAACCGACATGTCAATTTCAATATCATATAAATAATATTAGTTGTTCCATCAATTCAAACTTGCCACAAGTGTGTCTTGTTTCGATATTCGCCAGGATCCCATGTAACATTCAGCCCTTCTACACCTCGCCCAAGAAACATGAAATGTTCATCCCAAAATTCATCTTCCAACATTTGTCCAAAAAAAACTTAACCTAGCATGTTCACCAAAAAGTGTCACAATTGTGTTTCCACACTTTGTTCCTTCTCGAAGTATATCTTGTTCATACCAAATGAGGAAATGCCAAATATATATTTAGTTCTTCTATAAACTTGTAAATCTACTGTGGCATTTTTATAAGTATCTTCTAAGAAGTATATGTGTTTATCAAGTTCATCTATTTTAGTTATTATCACATATGCACACCTATGCACACCACACATACATGTACATATATACATATACACATAGACATACACATACACACAGACATAGACATAGACATGCACATGCACACACACACACATACACATATATACTGTATATCTATATGTGTTTACATACCATACCGTACCATACCATACCATGCATGCATATACATATACATATACATATACATATACATATACATACACATATACATATACATATACATATACATATATACACACACATATATATATATATATGATATGATATAATATCGTAAAATGTTGAAGATCTCGCAGGCAAGGCCGCCGTGCTCCCTTGGCACCTCAGCACTGGGGAGGCCAAAAGTCTCTTGGAGAAGGTGCGAAACGATCAGAAAAACCTGGAGATTCTGTGGAAAAACCTGGAAAATCCCTATAAAGCCCTGGAAAAATGGTGATTTCATAGGGAAATCCGGGAAATCATGAGATAATTTGGTGTTAGATGGGGAAACCTGGTAATTTCTGATAAAACTTGAGAGTGGATTAAACCAACAACCAACCGTGATGGGGAGATCATGGGGAACCGCCAAGTCATCTCCATTTCGGATGTTCTTTTTTTGGAGGCACATACCGCCAATACTCTGGTTTTCCAACGCACCTAGTGAAGTAAACGAAGTTAGCGTTCGGGGGCCCAACCTTGTGGGATTTGTTTGACGAAGAAAACAGATAAAACAGTGGTTGTCGAAAAAACACACAGAAAACACGGGTGGTTCCACAAAAACACCTTAAATGTGCTTTCAGCAACCGGGTAACAAATATTTGCTTTATTGACCCGGATGTGTTTCTTTCAATAACTTTGAAAATGCGGGCCAATGCAATTGGACCTTTTGGGTTTGAGTTGAACCGAAAACAGGGGGTTCACGCAGTCACTGCAAATCCAAAGGCGATGGGTGTTTATAAGCAACAGAGATGCAGGTTTATCCAGCTAATCTTAGAGCAACACTTGACATGACAGTTTTGCCGAAAGAATTGATGTTCTAAACGAGAAAGAACAACATCCGCTTCATTAACCGTTTGGGTTTACTCAACTCAAATCATTGGTTTCAAAGGTGCAACGATTTGTGGGATGCTTACACTTGCACATATGAGGATTTTACCTGTTTGAAATTGCATGCGGTATACATATTTAAAAAGAAGCAACACAAACTAGGAATACGCCGTTCTGTTGGCCAAACTTCCGAGTGTTAAAGCCAACAGGATTGAGGATATTGGAGCGCAAGACAGTGATGTTTGATAAAAAAAAACTTGGATGTATTTCATTTGGGCACACATGGGCGGATGCTGGTGGTCCTTCCAGGCACTTCCATCGGTCTCAGTCGAAGTCGGGGTCCTCAAGGGCGTCATGGGCCACTCGGGTATGGTCATGTTTCCGGTTGAACCCTTTGGAGTGTACCATGGTGTACCCTATATTGTACCATATATAAATTGTTATATACATATGTATATATATAAGTATACATACATATATATATATATATTTATAAGTATATATATATTAACACCATCAATATTTCCTATCAAAACGTATATTTAGTTTGGGATTTTCCCAGTTTGGCATGTTTGATTTCCAGAAGTTATATCCCAATTATGTTCCCACTCATATTAATCCCATTAATATAAATCCCATAATTATCCCATTATTATTCCCATTAATTCACAATTATTTTCCCATTAATCATCCCATATAATAAATTCCATTATCATTAATATTAGTCATCCCATTTTTCACTCTAACATTTGTTTGTTGGTTAGTTAGTTGTATCCCACTATATCACCATTATGTTCTCGTGCCAAATTTGCCAATTATCATACAAATTATTATACTCCCATATTATCCCAGCAATATTAATCCCATTATCATCCCATTATATTCCTATTTTCACATTCTTTCACCATTGCTATCCCAATGGTTTTCCCATCATGTTCATATTACCGATTTCCATAGTGTCTTTAATTCGATGATTGAACACAGAAGCAACAAAGAAATGCGGGCTTGGGCCTGAAAATTTGGCCACGTCCAGTGAAAACTCAGCCACGATTTTCACCCTGAGTTGAGAGGATGAATCTCTCAAGAATCATTTATAGATTTATAGAAAATGCTTTCCATTTTTTCATACCAATGTTTACTATTGTTTTAAATAAGTTAGGAATGTGTGCTAAATATGTTTACTAAAATGCCAACGTTTTGGTTTATCTTTCCAAATATGTTTACTAAAATACCTCTTTGGATTATTTTTCCATATGTTTTCCATATGTTTTCATATGATTCCCAGCCAATTTCACCAGGATTTGGAGATTTTGATGGAGACCTTACCAGTTGCGGATGGTCAGCTCTCCTTCATTCAACTTATGTGCCTCGGGAGTTCACAGTTACGTAGCTATGGAATCTATGGAAAATGGTCCATAGAAACAGTTCATAGATGTTCATAGTTGATTTACCCAGCTATAAAATGGGTGGATTTTCCAGTTCGCTATGTGACAGCTTACCAGAGGTAATTGGATATGTGTGGGGCTATAATCGGATATCATGGATTTAATGGGAATCAACTATGAAACATGGTGAAACAATGACACTTAACCATGAAAATTGGTGATTTAAGCATGACACATGGTGATTTAGTGGGATATTCATGGGGATATTCACCTTCTCAACATTTTTAGAACGGTTGCTATGGAAGATCATGAGCCAACATGGGCAACTTAGACTGGAGATCTGGCGAACGAACTACCCTCTGGTGACTTGTTACCCTTTGGTAAACAAACATAGCTATTGAAAATTGCAATAGAAATAGTGGATTTTCCCATGAAAAATGGTGGATCTTTCCGTAGTTATGTGACAGTTTACCAGAGAGTACATAGCTATTGAAGCCATGGCCCAGTCGAAATAGTGGATTTACATGGATTTACCCAGCTGGAACATGGTGGATCTTTCCATAGTTATGGGACAGTTTACCAGAGGGTAACTGATAGTGACTAGTGACTAGTGACTGATATCTCCCAGCATAAACCGAATCGTTACCCTATATATAGTGACTGAAACCAACTGAGCAAACGATGTGGGGCCCCACCTTGAATATCCAGAACTGATGAGACATCGGAGCTACTTGCAGGGCATGGGAAACAGGTGAGAACGGAATGGGGAAAGGAGCTGCCCCTAGGGGGGACTGTGAATCCACGAGTTTCATAGGAATGGTACCCCCCCCTTCAATTCACTGAGACATTGAAAATAGCAATGCTTCAGCATGTTTATCTTCCAAGTCCCTGAATTTGGGGCAGGCTGGGTAGGGTGGGATGATGTTCCACGATCTTCCCAGTGCACTAGGTAAATCCATGAAGATTTTGGGTGTTTTTCCTGACATGTTTCATGAAACCGGAGGCTACTTACCATCTGGTTATGACTAACATAGCCATGGAAAATCCCTTATAAATGGAGGTTTTAATATGTTTTAATGGGAAAACATCTATAAATGGACCATTTTCCATGGCTATGTTAAATAAGCAGAGTGTACTTAATTAATCTATATATAATATCTTAATTTCATTCCCATCCATTCACCCTATTTGCAAGAATTGATCTGAGCATTTCCTGAAATGGAGGTACCCCTAAATCATAAATTTTAATGGGATTGTCCTTATGAACCATCCGTTTTGGGGTACCCCCATTTATGGAAACTTCCATATGGGAATGTCTCAAAATGAGGTGTCCGTTTTTCCCCTTTTTCCGTAGCTATTTTGGAACCAAAAACGGACACCTCATTTTGAGACATATCCATATGATTCCATATGTTTATGGGCCATGAATGGCTCCCATTTTCAGATGACTGGCGCCTGAAACGCGCCGTGGCGATTCAGGTCCTGGCTCTATCCATCCAACGAGTCTTCCATCGATACGGACGAATGGAAGGTGGGTATCCTGGAGCATCGCGTTTCGTTGGAGTCCGTAGGTGAGATGTGGGTAGTGTAACTTAAGGAGTGTAACTACTGTGAAAAAGGGATGTCTTTCAATTTTCCTGTCCTGATTGGGATATGTTGACTAAGTCAAGAGTTGCTGAAAGTGATGGAATCTTCCAAGGAGCTGACAGTCTTCCATCCTTTTAAAAGCTGGTATTTGACCAAGGATTCATCCCTTCCCCTATTATCAAATACACCCCCCAAACGAAATCACCAAGCTGGATTGCCCCAGCGGCTATCCAGTCACATTCCAACCTGCAGCGGCTCGCTGTATCTAAAGTAGATGAACTGTGCCTAGTTTGAGGCGATATAGCATATGCGCACACACACATATATATATATATACTATATTATTTATATATACTATATTATATATAGATGTGTATACATACATGTATGCATATATATATATACTACAACTATACGTGTATATATATATATATATATACATACATACAATCCCTTCACCCTATTACTAAAACCACTCCAAATGGTAAACATGGTGATCTTTTTTTATTAAGGTGTATTTTGTATTAGGGGCCTAATTAAGTATTTAAAGCAAACGAATGTATTTCAATATCAATTAAATTCCTTTTAAAATCTAATCAACATATTGCCAAAAATTGGATTTCGAAGGTTCCCCTAATATTAAATTAAAAACTTAAAAACCCTAAGGATAAAAACAAAAAGTTCTATTCCAAAATCGTTTTTTTGAAGGTTCCACTAATGTTAAATTAACAACCCTATATAATGCATCTGGAAAAAGCAAAAAAAACTGTTTCAAAATCGATTCGTTCCTTTTTAACATCTATTTAAAAGTATTGCCAACAGTTGGATTTTGAAGGTTCCCCTGATATTAAATTAAGGATCCTGATAGGAAAACACAAAATGTTCTATTTCAAAATGCGACAACAATAAAGCACCAGGTGACCAGGTGTGATTCTATTTTTATTAATAGGAGGTAAAAACCACTATTTCATCATCATGTTCTCCTGTTGGTTCTCAATTACCACAATCAAGAACGCAACTGTAAGCAACCAAAACCACCTGAAAGTGCCAATCCAATCCTATTTTTATTAACTGAGGGAGTTTTAGGAATAGGGAGAAGAGACTATCTGTCTATCTATCTATCCATCTATCGATCTATTTATCCATCCATTTGTCTATCTGTTTGTCTGTCTGTCTGTCATATATATGTAATGAATTGTAATGATATAGTCATTCTTTAAGGCATGCATATAGATTTCTTGGTTGCCATGATACTCCCCAGATACATATGGCAGGTCCGAAGAAGACAGCATTGTTCCTGGGCTTCCCGCGGGCGTTCTTTGCTCGTGCCCCTGGGCGGCAGGCAGAGCTGTTCTTTAGCATCAAAAAGCTTTACAAAACCAAAATCAATATACATGCTATCAGTAACTATCAGTAACTATCAGTAACTATCAGTAACTATTAATAACTATTAGTAACTATTAGTAACTATTAGTAACTATTAACCTATTAGTAACTATCAGATATCTTTACCATGACCATATTGAAGCTACCTAGTTCAGTCTTAGTTCCACCAACTTCGCCTGTCGTTCCAGGGCCACGGATTCAATCGGATTCCTCTGGTTTCTATAGAGGATTTATGCTGATTTACCTGTCAAAAATGGTGTTTTCCCATGGTTTTCCCCACTTCGCTACGTTCACTACCAGAGGGCGTCTGTCCATCCCATTAACTAATATCCTATGAAAATCCCATCGAATCACAATTTTAATTAGTTCAATTGCCACGTGTTCATGCTTTGCGGATTTGCCCAGTCGCAACTTTAGCCCGCTATGGCGGATCTCCCGCAACGATGTAGAGTTTGCATGTCCATTTGCACCGGACATCGAGCAACCTCACATCAATGGTCGATTTTTGGGTGCACCCACATGGTCAACGGACTCAGTCCCATTTTGCCAGTGTTTTTCTTGCCCTAACCCCAACCATAGTGGTGGTGGATTTTCTTTGCAACGCCATGGCGTGCTGAGGTTGTCCACCATTGCGGAGCCGTTTCAACACTTTTGGCGCGAAGTCTTTTTAGACCTGGCTTGGTCGGTCCAGAGCTCAGCTATAGGTAGCTCACGACGTAAGCGTGACCCCCGGCAGAAAATTGAGGGAGACAAATATAATAAATAATGCTAATTAATAAATAGTCATGGTAATTCGATGTTTAATTTAGCTATGAATAGGTAATTCGCCAACTATATTCAATGTTAACTTTGACTGGAAATAATTATATTAATGGAGCTTTCTGAAGTCATGGGCTATCCCCAGTCATCATCCAAGTCATGGACCGCCATAAAAGTATTGAAACCTATGGTGACGATGGGATCCCTAAGAAACCATGAATCCTTGAAATGTTCGCATCTCCGGCAAGATGGGCCATGATAGTCCCCACAATGCAGAAAAGACGAAAATGCTACTGAAATGTAGTTGTAAATTTACGAAGTTTTTAAGGCATTTCTTTCGCAAAAACTGGGCCCCATCTGGACCTTGTGTTGCAAGTATAGATTCATAACCCCAGCTGCAAGTGGATTGACAGTATTTGTCCATCTTCGAACCAGGAATATAACCTAACTACTAAGTGGGATGAACTCCCAAGCATGTCTTTGAATTATGATTATGTCCCAATTTTTTCCCATGTGCTCCCTATGTGTTCGCACATGTTCTCATGTTTCCCTACGCTTTCCCGCATGTTCTATGTTTCCCCATATTTTCCCATATATGTCCTATATTTTTTCCATATACTTTCCTTTATTTCATAGATTTCCCCATACATGTCCCATATATATACATATAATATGTAATTATATATATAATATATATATAGGTCCTACAATCCTATATATGTTCCATGTATTTCCCATATTTCCCCATATATTAATGGCCATTTCAGGAACCTAAATTGGAGGTACCTACCATTTTTGAGGCTTATCTTTTAGGCCTATGTAAAGGAATAGCCCCATAAAATATTGTCAGTACCTCCATTTTCAGAGATTTCCCCACGTTTCCCCCACGTTTTTTTCCTCGAAATCAGGCCTGGGCCCTTGCCGTGGCCACCTCCCGGCGTCAACGCACGCTGCCGGCCGCCTGGCTTCAAGCTTTCCGGAACCTGGAAATTCTCCACTTATTCACATAGTCCATGCCAATTTAATGGTATTTGAATGTGATTTTATAGTGATTTAATGAGATTTTATAGTATTTGAATGGTATTTATAGTGATTGAATGTGATTGTATGGTGATTTAATGGGATTTTAGAGTAATGGGATTTATGGTGATTTGTATGGGATTTTTATAGTGATTTGTATGGGATTTTATAGTGATTCAATGGGATATTAATGGGATTTACCCTCTGTTAAACTAACAGTTTGCTATTGAAAATTGCCATAGAAATAGTTGATTTACCTATTAAAAATGGTGATTTTCCAAAGTTATGTTAGTTGACCAGAGGGTAGCGATACTAAACAATACTAAACACCCCTTAGAAACCATGGTTTCTTGTTGGGAATTCCACATCATCGGAAGTAGAGAAGGGCAGTGTTTAATATTAGGGGGATGGGATTATATTGATATAACTATACACTAGTATGTTTTTATATATGGAACCTATTGTTGAAAAGCAAAAGTTGATACTATACTTATTGTTATGCATAAGTAAGGTTTTTGATTAGTATTGGTGAATAGATATAGCAATATTAATAGTTCATAGTTAATGTCTATGATTAATATCTATGGCAAACCATTAGTGTTATCCATTGTTGATATTATTGATGTATATATAACTAATAGGAATTATTGGGTGTAATTTGGTTTAATGGAGAGAATCATGGGATAAACATGTTGTGGAATAGTAACTATTTATTGTTGTCCATTATCAATATAGCTATTTATAAATGCGGAATTTCCATACTTAATACCTATGACAATCTATGATTATTTGTGGCACACTACGGTTGTTATCCATTTTTCTATGGCTCGATACCCTGGGGTTTTTACATACCAAAAGATGGCTGGAAACCCCATGGTTTCCCAGTGAAAGTCGGACCTAGAAATGGTTGGTTTTGCGCATCTGTTACTTTACCCTTGGGTAACTAATAGTAATGGAGAGAACTATTGCTGTAGCATAATGATATTCATAACCCATTGCTATTTAGAACTATTGTTACACATTGTAGGAATAAATATTCGGATATCCGGTGATATCAGTTAATAAAGTACGTGGCTATCCCAATAGTTCATAGTTAATATCTTTAATTAATATCTATGGCAAACTATTATTGTTACCCATGATTAATACAAATAACAGCAGTTACTTGTTGTACTATGATTTAGTAGGGGTTATAATTGGAAGATAATAAGATCGTTGGAGAGGTTGACATGGGACAGCAATAGTATATTGATGGATTTACCCTCAAGTGGTGAGACATTGCTTGCTGGAAAGTTCTCTATAAGCTTGCCATTTCGATAGCTATGTTCGAATACCAGCTATTGCCAGATGTTAAGTGGAATAATGAATGGAGAAATAATGATGGATAAATAAGGGGTAATTGGAATGCGCTCTGGTAATTTGATTTATCCATTGGATACCCTCTGTCATTGGATACGAATTGAATTTACCACATGATAGTTTAAAGTAGGGACAATGTCACAAACCTACTGATAAGTTAGAGATTTCATTGAAATTCAAAAAAAATATATATATATTATCCATAAATTGGGGTATTCTTCCAAATTAGACCATTTATCCCACACTTTAAGAAATCCATAGAAATTTCCATGTTCGGACTATGAACTAGATGAAATATGATGGAAATCACCCAGGTTTCATGGTGGACTCTTGTGGCCAGGAGGCACAAGCCGAGTTTGAATCGGAGGAGCCGGAAGTTGGCTGCAGGGTTTCCGGTGGAAACGTTGATTCGAAGTGTCCCGAATTAATTGGTGGAAACGTTGATTGAAATTGGAGATTGGAACATTCTGAAATTGGAGATTGGAACATTCTGAATCAATCGAAGGCGATCAGAGAAGATGGTTATATCATATTATATAATCAACATAATCAAAGAGGGCGGCTACATTTAGTTTGTCCCTTGAATTTCAAAGGCCGGCCACCGTAATTATGCCGCAAAATCATTTGCCAAGGTTTCTATGTTTAAGGGCTCCTGTTGCAGGCAGGAGATTTTTTTAGTTGCAAAACCTAGGGGCCTATTTTTCCAGTGTGATGCTTGAATCATTATTTACAGTAATGCTAGTAAAGCAATAGGATCCACCATCCCCAAATTTACCTTTTTTTAATGGATGGTATAAACCATCAATCCATATGGGTAGCAGTTCTGTTTCAGATCTCTATACCGTTTATCCCAACAAGAATCAAAGAAGATCCAATAAGTTTCTTTCACTGAAGAGTCCCACTTAGTTGGTGGAAGTACCGAGGATAGAAGTTTTACATCGTTTTACTTGGTGGGTATAAGTTACTTAAACATACTTAAACAGCTGGTGGATATAGGATCTAACATGATCCAACTGCAGGATCAGTGGATTTGCCCTTTGGTAAATTGCTCAAACCTGCCTTGAGATGCTGGGGCGAGGCCGACCGCATCTCCGCACTCTGTCGCGAGGCGGGCGTTGTTTTTTTGCTCGCGATGTTATTCGATGTTTTTTTGCTCACACCGAAAGATGAATTAAATTGTATATGCCATATACCAAAGTGCAAAAGATAGACACTGATTGTTGTATTTGGCCAGTGGATTCAACCATTGATGTTCCCACTTTGTTATTTAGTATTCGCTTGTAATTTATCAGAGTTCGTAGGTGGAGAAGTACTGACAATTAACTAGCTGATATGCACTGATTCAAGTTGTTAAACAAAACACTTGCAAGGATGATTTTATTGAAATTACTACCAGCCTTTTTTCGTCTCAACGTGATCCGAAGTAAAGATTGACAATTTCTCAGCCCTGGCGTAGTTTCGACAGGACCTGGCTGTCATGGTTCACACACAGTTTCAGCTTGGTGAAAGATGTAATCCAACCAAATTACACCACCATGTCGGCTTTGGTTGGTAATATCGCCCTTATGGTGAAATGGGTTGCATGATTTTGGATCAGACCATTAAAGAACACACCATTTCTTCAGCTTCAAATCGTCCAACCCTGGGATCTGGCAGCGTTTATCACAGCAGGTGTCCCTAGATGATGTGGCCAGCAGCGCGTTGCACAACATCTTGGCGAGGTCCTACTGCGCATCACCAGACACGACCTGAGGTTTGATTTTTTCTGGCTGAGGTTCACACCAGACTCGAAAAAAATCAGTTTCATAGCCAGATTCGTTGTGTTTTTAAGCCCCGGGATATGATTTTTGTGATGAGAAGGGGGCTATAGCTACTATAGTTTACTATAGTTTAATGCGTGTATACCGTAATGTTTATGTGTATATACTGTCTTAGGGATAGCCACCCTATGGACAACAGCTTCCGGAAAGCTTGGTTTAAATGGTGCAGTTCTTCTCCATAATCTGCCGAATTCTAATCCTCGGTTAAAGTTAGTAAGGCGTACCCTCTGGTAATCAAACATGGCAATGGAATCCCAATTTGGTTCCATGATTTCCCACTAAAACATCCCTCCCAATTGACTTCAAATATAATAATGTATTTTCTGGGTAAATCTTGCATTTAGATATTTAGTACATATACGGTATATGGTATATACGTGATTCATCGCAATCATACAGTGTTTCTCTTGACTTTGTTTCCAAAATGGGATCCAACAATTCCAAAAATCCGTGCTGCATTTTAGGCTCCAACAGCCAGCCTGGCCCCTGGCAATTTGCCAATTTTTGAGCCATGGCCAAAGATCAGCTCCCACCAACGATCAGCGCGCCGGCAGGTGCCAGGAAGAAGCAGCCTTTGGAAGCGACATAAATTTAGATCCCATTTAAACTGATTGGTGGTTTGGAATCCTCATCCCAACTGACTAATATTGAAACCACCAACCAGTAAAAGTTGGAAGAAAAACATAGATCCAAGCATTTGGATAAGACCACAGCCCCCACAACCCTTATAGATCCCTTCGCGACGTCACAACACAGGCGCCGAGGGGCAACTGGCAGATCTCCCCCCCGGTTTTGACCGGGATCGCATGATGGAGGTATTGAAGATCAAGGAGCAAGCGAACGAAGCTTGGTTCGAAGGGTTATGGGGACCACCATCCAACTTGGGTACAGACAGATTGATGGTTGGAAACTATGGCCGGTGGAGCATGGTGGAACATGATGGAACATGATGGAACATGGAAATAGGTGGAACTGATTTTCTTTGCAGAATGGAGCTCAAAAGAAAAGAGACGCTTCCCAACGAAAGCCTCAGCATTTCCTTCGGTCTAACATGACATGGGCATCAGCAACCTGTGTCTATATCCTAGAATGAATCTCTTGGAGATCATGGGTGTTTTCAGCGCATAAAACCATGTAAAACAGGTGAATCAATTGCTGGCCCGTGGTTTTTTTCATAGCTGTTCGGCTGTTCAGCTATGAAAATGGGAATGGGATGACCCTTAAACCAGCACCCAGGTGGATCAAATTGAAAAATCAACGACAGAGTTCAGAACAGGACAAGAGCACAAGTTGGCTGATACATTACTGGCTGATTTCAAAATCGCTGAATTAATCTGGTTAGGTGGTTTGGAACATGGCTTTTATTTTTCCATATATTGGGAATGTCATCATCCCAACTGACTTTCGCATATTTTTCAGAGGGGTAGGGCTCAACCACCAACCAGTAATGTATACATATCCCATCATATAACCATATATAACCACTATTATTGGTATTAGAACCACTATTATTGGTATATAATCCCATTATCCCATTATAAAGATGATTATCCCATTATAGCGGTATGAAATCGCTGGGTTTCCTCTCTGGGATATTGCTACCTCGGGGGATGCGAGAGGTGATCAATTGAAGTGCCAGGCCCTACGTTCGCTTTGCAGATGGCCTATTTTTGGTTTGCTGATTTACCCGGCCTGGCAAACTGTCCCATAACTATGGAAAATTTCCATTTGTAATGGGTAAATCAACTATTTCGATTGGGTCATTTTCAAGAGCAAACTGTTAGTTTACCAGAGGGTAGCTGTGAAAGATGGCGTGAGATTTGTTTTAATCATGTGAAATTAATTACCAGATGGTACCATCTGGTTATTTAACATAGCCATGGAAAATCACCATTTTTAATACGTAAACCATCTATAAATGGGCCATCTATACCATGGCTATGTTAAATAACCAGATGGTATCTATAACAATGTTCATCTAGCCTCCCGGAATGACACGTGGCAGTAGAACATCCACGCTACGCTACATGATGCTACTCATGGACCATCCATCAGTGGATGTCCAATTACCAAGTTTGATTACCAGAGGGTATATCCCAAAAAGTTACCCCAAAAAGGGGCTTTTTATCCCAGGAGTATCCAATCCAATTTGTTTCACAAACTCAAGCAGACTGAATCTAACCACACTTCCTCCTTCTGAATTCCTTTGGGGATGAATCCAGCAACTCTCACGTTTGTGAGGAGAAGTTCAGGCGCCGGCGAGCTGATGTCAGATGGACACTTGATGAGCCCGGATAATCCATTTAAATCCTTATGATAGACAAAATCTCCAGGAATTATGGCAGTCATAACATATAAAAAACAAAAGAACATATGAAATCATATGATCTATGGCTTCTGATAACTATGGCTAAAAGGAATCCAACTTACTGCCCACCTAACTTGGCTTCTTTTTTTGAACATGCTGCCACTTCAACAGCCACTTCAACAGCCAGGGCAGGAGATTATTTCAGTGCCAAGTGCCTGTATTCTGGAAGTCTTGAGATGCTCGAGCGATGTTGCCTCCATCTGGACAGAGCTGATGGTGTTTGGGAAGGCATCAAGAACCTTGGCGTGTCACCATTATTCAATACATTATTCGCTATTCATGAGATTGTCCTGCAGGAGTATTCCCCAAAAACAATCAAAAACATACAACGCATATGAGATAAGGAGAAGAGCCTTACCATATTTACCATGCCTTAGCAATATATTCTGGTGTCAAACTTGAGTGATTGGATCATAGTGTTTGACCTTACATGACATCATGGTGTATTGTTGGATCATGTTGGATCTCTAGGACGTAGGATCAAGCCATCGTTCCACTACCCATATCGAAGACTGGGCACAAAAGTGGTTCCACCATAAGAAACACGAGTAACTTCGGCTCACGAAGTTATGATAAGTTACTAAGTGTTACTAAGTTATGGGCATCTTATATTATATATATACGTATATTATATATATATACGTATATATTATATATATATATATATTTATATTTACACACACACATACATATATATATATATTAAATATATATATATATATATATATACATGTATATATACGTTCCAAGTTCGACATGTTCCACATCAAGAATTCCAGGGACAAAAGCTGACCAGCCTCCCAGGAACAACATGGCCCTCTGCGACTTGAAGCGCCAAGAATGGGGCCGTGCCGTTGAAACCACCTCCGAAATCCTGCAGCGAAACGCCAAAAATACCAAGGTGGGGAGGTATGTTCAACCTCTGACGGGATCAAAAAAAAAGAACATATCTTAGATAACAATCTGAAATAATGTGGATATATAATCCCTATTAATCCATATTAATCTGAAATCTTGGCCATTGGCAGGTTATTATGGGAAGGAATGCAAATGGTGATGATTTTGGGAATGATGTTGTTCATGCCCAAGGATTCTGATTGACATCCATTGACCAATGTAGGCTAATATAGGTACCTACCATATATAATATAAGGCCTATTTTTCAGGGCTAAATTTCAGGGAATATCCCCACAATTCATATGGCCTTATATAAAATGGTACTAACGTACCTCCATTTTAGGATCCTGAATTTCCCATGGAATTGTTGGTTGTTTCGTTGGCATCATGGTTGCTGCAAGCCACAGATGTTATTCACTGGTTGATAAACCCACAGCATATCCATCCCATGTCAGGAAAGTGATGAAATCAAACCCACAGAAGATTCCGTATCTCTACAGATAAAGTCACTTAAAGTATATATTTATTAGTAAAACATGTTGAAGACATGGTTTTGCCATGACTGAGTTACAAAAACCAGGCGCTCTACCGAAGAGGTGTGGCGCGTATTGGACAAAACAAGTTGAAGGATGCCCGCGAGGTGCGTGGGATCCATCATCCCGTTGGAATGCAGAAATTCTATCTATTTGTTTATTACTAAACCACATCAACCAGTGCATTCTCAGCTATGGGAAAACACAGTAGTGGATACTACTTACACACTTGTTTATCCTTGTTTATTACTATCCTCAATACATTTTTTTTGGCATTTTGGCATTGAGGATCCCCCCTTAAGGAAGGGGTGTGGGGCCCAACAACCATATGCTTTGCATCAAGAGGACCTCGGGAAGCTCTATATAATCGGACGGTCTCTAAGAAGATGTTGCCAGATTTTACCAGCTCAAGATATGGTAAAAGCAATAGGTGGTGAGTTGGATAGTTGGAGATTAGAATCATCTATCCCTCTAATCATCCATAACCACCATGTTTTCGAATGAATGGTAGATGCTCGTATCCAGATTATCAAAAAACAGTTCAATCTGTCCACCATTCAATACTAGCTCGTTGGTGGTTTCAAACATTTTTTATTTGAAGCACTTGGACCGAGACCCTCCCAGCGGGAGTGCTGGGCCGGCCGAAACTCGGTGTGCCGTTCACACGTGACTGTTTGCCATGGCACTTTGGGGTAGCGCAGGTTCACCATCAATTTGGGGCTTACCACCGGCGTTGGAAGTTGGTGGCAAATGTGACCTTGCAGCTGAGGTCATTTCTTTGTCAGGTGATGCAGTGCTGGTGGCCATTCTGCCCAATAGGGTCCGTGCGAAGGTTCTGGGAACGTTGGAGGTTTCGGCTGACACGACCACCATCTCAGTTTTCGATGCTACCTTGGTTCAGAAGGATCCGATGCCCGTCTTCATCGTGGACGATCCGACTGACGTCTTGTTGTATGGCCGAAGTTCCCGTGAGTCATTCAGCAATTTGATCGACTTGTGTTCTGGCATGGGGATTGGAACGATTGGTTTTCAAGCTGCAGGTATGGTTCCGGTTTGTGCTGCTGAGTGGTCGCCACCTTTAGCTGAAGCTTTCAGGTCCATGCACCCGGATGTCCCATGCATCACAGGTGACATCACTTCCAAAGAGACGTTGAAGTGTTTGTACAAAGCTCATCCGAAACCAGCGGTAGTGATGTGCGGTTTCTCCTGCCAGCCTTTCAGCTCCGGAGGCTCCCAAAGAGGAGCGGAAGACACCCGATCCAATACGCTGCATGCAGCGCTCAGGGCTGGCTACATGCTCCGAGCTGTTGCAATCTTGCTTGAGTGTGTACAGGATGCATCTTCTAATTCGATGGTTCGCCAGCAGATCGAAGGTTTCAGGGATCAGTGTGGCTTCCATCTCAGTGAAGTTGTGTTGCATCTTGATCAAGTTTGGGTTTCACGTAGAACACGATGGTGGGCCACACTGACAACTGATTTCGTAGGACCCGTGCCTCTCCGTGCATCCGATGCATTCGATGTCCCGTCGGTCCCACGTGATGTCCTGCCTGCACCCATGTCCGTGTCCCCTGAACACCTGTTGCAACTTGAGCTGAAAGATGATGAGCTTGAGCGTTTCCTTCAATACCAGCCAAGACTTGCCAAGATGTTCCTTCAAGCCAATGCCAAAGGGCCGACAGCCTTGCATTCGTGGGGTTCCCAGGTGACCCCATGTGCCTGTCACTGTCGAAGTGCTGGATTTTCCCATGAGACGTTGCAAAAGCGTGGACTGTATGGTATCCTCTTCCCTGTGTCTGTCGAGCTTGGTCCAAGCCATCAACAGCACCCACGTGTCCGCCATCCACATCCGACTGAGGTTGCTGTTCTGACAGGTGTGCCTGAAATGGTTTGGCCCCCGAATCTGAGACTGTGCCTTGCAGGGTTAGGACAGCAAGCATCACCTCTGCAGTCTGTATGGGTTGGATCTTTGTTGCAATGCCATGTTGATCAGGTTTTCTTCGGTGAGTCAAAGCTTGACCCAGTGGACTGTTTGCTTGATGTTCGTGGTCGGGTGCTTGTCATTGCTGAACACTTGGAATTTGACCCTGTCATTCCTAGCGCATTGCCAGACCCACCTGTTGAAGAACCTATGGACTTGACTATTGATGACACGTCTCTCACGCCTTGGGTGAACTTTTCACACAAAGGTAAACAGGATGAGGTCACTGTGGTCCATTACTTGGATGAGATTCCCTTTGTCTCGCGCCTGTCAGACCCTGATGAAACTGTTGCGGCGGTGCTGTACACTACTACCAAGTTTTTGGGCTTGCCAGGGACAGACGTTCGTGTCATTGACTGCAGTTCTGGCCTGAACCTTGCAATGGGCCACCCAGCGGCTGGTATGTGTCTTTGGATTGCACCAAACCCTGTCCATGCGGTCCCAGTCCATGAGGTTCCTGATGTGTCCCCTACCATTCCATGGTGTGCTGAAGACCCGACTGAAGATGTCACTGTTGAGACAGCGGTTGCCCTAGCCCCCAGTGCTAGCCCTCGGCAGTCTGACCCAGCACCTGAGCCTCTGGTTTCCCTTGATGCGACCAGGTTGAGCTTGATTCCTGAGCCTTCTGTCACTGATGTCAACCTTGTCCATGCCCTGCGGAAGCAAACAATTGACTCAGAGACTCGGAAAATTGTCCTGTCCAACCAAGGTACCTTATGGGCTGATGATGAACTTCTTTGGCACGTTGACCAACTGCTTCAGGTTGCACGGAAACCCACGTGGGCTTTGCTGGATCCCTTGCTTGCTGCCGAAGCATTGAAGCGTCCTAGTCATGCCCTGCTGAATCAATGGATTTCCTCCTTTGACAAGCGCCCCACTGCCATTATTGGAATTGTTCCAGTTGACAACCATTGGGTTCCCTTCCTTTGGACTTGGACTGCTCACTGCATGATCGCTTCCTGCTGGGATATCCCTGGTCCCCCACATTCCTCCCTTGCGGTCCTCCATCAAAGCCTTGCAACGGCAGTTGGTTCCCGGACTTGGACTGTTCATGCTGTGCACCGTTCTTTCGCTGTCCCGGAGTACTGTGGTTTGTGTGCACTCAGGTTCATTGATCACATGTTGCGAGGAAAGATGCTTCCTGCCAATTTGGATGATGTGAAGAAATTGCATGCTGCGGCCCGTTCCAGTTATGTGCAATTTTTGGACTCCTGTGCAACAGTCAGCAGGCCATGGATTTGGGCAGCTGGACTTGAGCCCAAGGCCTACGACCGCTTCCACAGTTTGTTGGAAGAACATGGTGTTGACTCTGCCCAGACCAAGAACCGTGCGTCCCTCTTGATCCAAGCAGCAGGCCTCCCTGCAGTTCAAGGTGCCTTCACTTCTGGACAACCGTGGCGTGCTCTCAAAGGTGTTGCCAACAAGTGTCGCCCAGTCTTCCAACTTGTCCTCCCTCAGGAACTTGAACAGGCAGTGCAGAAAAAGGCTGAAGCTGGAGGCATACGATCCAAACGGAAGAAGCCACCATCGACACCCAAGCCAAAGCTGAACCAGCCAACTGCGCCCCAGGCCTTAGACCCTGCAAAGCTGATCATTGATGATGAAGCGTTCACTGCACATGATGGCACTGGACTTTGCCAAATTCAAATGAAGGAGATCGGGCCGTTTGCCCTAGGCGTAGTCTTGTCCACCCCTGAAGAAGCCTCAGCATACCTCAAAGCCGGTCAACTTGTTTCCCAAGGTTCTCTTGGTCTGCTTTTGTTGAATGCTGATGAAGCCCAACTCGACACCAGCCTGACATGGGCTTCCTTGCGTGTCGTTTTGAGATGCCTTGCCAACAGTGAACCAATGATCGTCCCTGCGTACCTTGTGCAGCTTGGCAAAACACCAGTCCTCCCTCGAGCTGAACCTGGCCCACAAGACGTCCTGCATGCTCCAGCGGCATGTTGCAAAATTGCGGTTTACCGAGACATGGTTGACGATGATTGGCAACAAATCATCCGTGCGCCCGTGAAGTACGTGCTGGCTCGCCTTGCCCCACTGCAGGTTTGTCGTCAAGGAACCCCTCAAGCACCATGCACCTGCCTCAAGTGGCATCCTTCCCAAGATGACGTTATCCGAGATCCTGTGTTGGACGTCTGGCGCCGCCAGTGGGTTTCCCTCACCTTCAGGCAGACAGCACCAGAACAGGCCGAAGTTTTCATCTTCAACATGAGGTGCTTAGACTCCCTGCTTCCCAGTGTGCTTGCATGCAGTGGCCACCACGGCATCTTCGTCGAGCCCAGAACTGTCGATGCCCGAGATCCCTTGCTCTCATACCAGGCCCTGTGGCTCCCAAAGACGCCTCACGAAGAGCTCCTGAGGATCCAACAATGCACGGCTCAGGTCGTGGGCCTTGCCAGACTCGGCAGCCGCCTTGGAGTCCGATCCAAAACATCAGATGCATCCGAACTTGCCAAGAAATTGAAACCAGGATCGATCTTCCTGGCACCAGGAGCAAAGCTCACCTACGAGCTGGGTCCTCTGCCATTTGGCATGGACAGACTTTCTGTCGCGCGCCTATGCAGCCAATGGGGATGGCAGGCCAGGCCTTTGCATCCGTCCAGATCCGTGGCAGCTGCATTGGGCAATCTGTGGCTTGTGCAGGCCAGTGTTGGACCACCAAATCCTGTCGTTCGATACCAGGGCAATGAGGTCGTCATCACCAAGATCCAAGACAAAACGGAATCCCCTCAGCCCAGCGCCCTTGTGATCGGGAGCAATGCTACGGTGAAGCTCTGCACCAAGGATGCCGCCACCAACCTCACGGATCCTTGGTTGGTGCATGATCCATGGGGACCTGGTCCTTCCCAACCAGCACTGAGGGTTGACAACCAAGCCGCACTTCGGGAATTTGAGACCCATCTTGAGAACAAGATCCTGGCCAAGCTCCCGTCACCGGATATGGAAGTGGATGGATCAGGTTTACATGACGCCAGGTTTGCGGCATTGGAACAACAAGTCCATTCCCTCACCATGAACCAGCAGGCATTGGAATCCAAGATCGATGAAACAGCCATCCGCTCTGAGAATCAAGTTGCAGCCTTACAGTCCCAAGTCGCTCACCAACTCGACAGTCAAGGACAGCAG